GTCCTGTTCAGGAAATTGTCTCCTGTGCCAATGAGTTCTAGGCTGTTTCCCACTTTTCTTCTAACAGATTTAGAGTATCTGGTTTTATGTTGAGGTCCTTGATCCACTTGGACTTTAGTTTTGTGCAGGGTGATAAATATGGATCTATTTTCATTTTTCAGCATGTAGACATCCAGTTGGTCCAGCACCATTTGTTGAAGATGCTGTCTTTTTTCCATTGAATGGTTTTGGCTTCTTTGTCAAATATTGAGTATTCATAAGTGTGTGGGTTTATTTCTGGGTCTTCTATGCAGTTCCATTGATCCTCCTTTCTGTTTTTATGCCAATACAATGCAGTTTTTTATTATTATTGCTCAGTAGTACAACTGGAGATCGGGGATGGAGATACCTCCAGATGATCTGTTGTTGTACAGGATTGTTTTGGAGATTCTGGGTTTTTTGTTTCTCCATATGAAGCTGAGAATCTTTTTTTTAAGGTCTGAAAAGAACTGAGTTGGTATTTTGATGGGAATTGCATTGAATCTGTAGATTGCTTTTGGCAGGATGGCCATTTTCACAATGTTAATCCTACCAATCCATGAGCATGGGAGATCTTTCCATCTTCTGAGATCTTCTTCAATTTCTTTCTTCAGAGACTTGAATTTTTTCTCAAACAGGTCTTTCACTTGCTTGGTTAGTGTCACCCCAAGGTACTTTATTGGTTAGTGGCTATTGTGAAGGGTGTTGTTTCCCTAATTTCTTTCTCGGCCCTTTTGTCTTTGGTATACAGAAGGGCTTCTAATTTTTTTTGAGTTGATTTTGTATCCTGCCACTTTGCTGAAGGTGTTTATCAGCGGGAGGAGTTCTCTGGTTGAATTTTTGGGGTCACTCATATATACTATCATATCATCTGCGAATAGTGACACTTTGACCTGTTCCTTTCCGATTTGTATCCCCTTGATCTCCTTTAGTTGTCTTCTTGCTCTGGCTAGGACTTCGAGTACTATGTTGAAGAGGTATGGAGAGAGTGGGCAGCCTTGTTTTGTCCCTGATTTCAGTGGGATTGATTTAAGTTTCTCTCCATTGAGTTTGATGTTGGCTATAGGCTTGCTGTATATTGCATTTACTATGTTTAGATATGTGCCTTGTATCCCTGATCTCTCCAAGACTTTAAACATGAATGGGTATTGGACTTTGTCAAATGCTTTTTCAGCATCTAGGGAGATGATCATGTGGTTTTTCTCCTTCAGTTTGTTTATGTGGTGGATTACATTGATGGATTTCTGTGTTGAACCACCCTTGCATGCCTGGGATAAAGCCTACTTGGTCGTGGTGGATGATATCTTTGATGTGTTCTTGGATTTGGTTTGCAAGTATTTTATTGAGTATTTTTGCGTCAATGTTCATAAGAGAGATAGGTCTGAAGTTCTCTTTTTTTGTTGGGTCTTTGTGTGGTTTAGGTATCAGGGTGACTGTCGCTTCATAGAATGAGTTTGGTAATGTACCTTCTGTTTCTATTTTGTGGAATAGTTTGAGGAGAATTGGTGTGAGCACTTCTTTGAAGGTCTGGTAAGATTCCGCGCTGAAACCATCTGGCCCAGGGCTTTTTTTGGAGGGGAGACTGTGAATGACTGCTTCAATTTCCTTGGGGGATATAGGGCTGTTCAGTCTTTCTACCTGATCTTGACTTAATGTTGGGAGATGGAATCTATCAAGAAAATTGTCCATTTCATTTAGGTTTTCAAGTTTTGTGGCATATAGGCTTTTGTAGTATGACCTAATGATTGTTTGAATTTCCTCAGTGTCTGTAGATATGTCACTCTTTTCATCTCTGATTTTGTTGATAGATTTTCTCTGCTTTTTAGTTAGTTTGGCTAACGGTTTGTCCATCTTGTTGATTTTCTCAAAGAACCAGCTTTTTGTTTCATTGATTCTTTGAATAGTTTTATTTGTTTCTAATTGATTGATTCAACCCTGAGTTTGATTATTTCCAGCCGTCTGCTCCTCTTGGGTATCTGCTTCTCCTTTTTCTAGGGTTTTCAGTTGGGCCATTAAATTGTTTGTATGTGATGTTACAAATTTCTTCTTGCGGGCACTTAGTGCTATAAATTTTTCTCTGAGCACTGCTTTCAATGTGTCCCATAAATTTGGGTATGTTGTGCCATCATTTTCATTGAATTCTAGGAAGTCCTTAATTTCTTTCTTTATTTCTTCCTTAATCAGCTGTCATTGAGTAACAAGTTGTTCAGTTTCCATGTGCGTGTAGGCTGTTTGTTATTTCTCTTGTTGTTGAGATCCAGCTTAAGTCCATGGTGGTCAGATAGAATACAAGGGATTATTTCAATCTTTTTGTATCTGTTGAGGCTTGCTTTATGACCAACTATATGGTCTATTTTGGAGAAGGTTCCATGTGGTGCTGAAAAGAAGGTATAGTCTTTTGAGTTTGGATGAAAAGATCTGTAGACGTCTCTTAGGTTCATTTGATTTAGGGTCTCTGTAAGTGTTTTCATTTCTCTATTTGTTTTCTGTCTAGTTGATCTGTCCCTTGGTGAGAGTGGAGTGTTGAAGTCTCCCACTATTAGGGATTTAGGATCAATGTGTGATTTAAGCTTTAATATTGTTTCATTTACGAATGTAGGTGCTCTTGTATTTGGGGCATAGATATTCACAATTGTGATGTCCTCTTGGTGGATTTTTCCTTTGATGAGAATATAGTGGCCGTCCTTATCTTTTTTGATTAACTTCGGATGAAAGTCTATTTTATTAGATATTAGGATGGCTACTCCCGCTTGTTTTCTGGAACCATTTGCTTGAAAGACATTTTTCCAGCCCTTTACTCTGAGGTAGTGTTTATCTTTGTTGCATAGGTGTGTTTCTTGAATGCAACAGAATGTTGGATCTTGTTTCTGCAACCATTCTGTTAGTCTGTGTCTTTTTATTGGGAGTTGAGTCTATTGATGTTGATAGAAACTAGTGACCAACAATTGTTTTTTAGTTTAGATGTGGGGTTGGTGGTGTCACTGAGTTTCATTGCTTGTATTCTTTTCGTTTTTTTTTTTTTTTTTTCGTGTAGTTATCTATTTCCTCTGTTTCCTTAGATGTAGTTGTTTTCTTTGGTTTGGACTTTCCCTTCTAGTAACTTCTGTAGAGCTGGGTTACTATGGAGATATTGTTTAAATTTGGTTTTGTCTTGGAATATTTTGAATTCTCCATCTATGTTGATTGAAAATTTTGCTGGGTATAGTAGTCTGGGTTGGAATCTGTGGTTCCTTAAGGACTGTATGATTTCTGTCCAGGCCCTTCTGGCTTTCATAATTTCTGTTGAGAAATCTGTTTTGATTCTGATAGGTCTACCTTCATATGTTACTTGGCCTTTTTCCCTTCCTGCTTTTAATATCTTTTCTTTGTTTTGTAGGTTCAGTGTTTTGACTATGATGTTACATGAAGAATTTCTATTCTGGTCTAGTCTACTTGGTGTTCTGTAGGCCTCTTGTACGTTTATGGCCATCTCCGTCTTTATGTTGGGAAAGTTTTCTTCTATAATTTTCTTGAAAATATTTTCCGGACCTTTGAGCCTGATGTCTTCTTTTTCTTCTACTACTATTATTCTTAGGTTTTGTCTTTTCATGGTGTCCTTGATTTCTTGGATGTTTTGTGTTTGGAATTTTTCTGATTTTATTTTTTCTTTGAGAGACGTGTCAATTTCCACAAGTGTATCTTCGGCTCCTGAGATTCTTTCTTCCATTTCTTGTATTCTGTTGGTGATGCTTACCTTTGTAGTTCCTGATCTTTTGTCTATGTTCTCCAGCTCCTGGTTTTTCTCTATTTGTGTTTTCTTTATTGGTTCTAATTCTGTTTTCATGTCTTGCACCATTTCCTTCATCTGTTTGAATGTGGAGTCCTGCTTTTCAATGATAGCTTCTATTTTTTTGTCCGTTTCCTCTCTATGTATCACTAATTGTGCCTTTACTTCTTTGGGTATAATTGCCTGTATTTCTATGAGAGCTTTGTTTATTTCTTCTTTATTTGCCTTCATTTGTGTCGACATTTCTTTGAGAGCTTTGTGCATTTCTTCTCTGTTTGCCTCAATTTTCGTGGTCATTTCTCTGAGAGCACGATTTGTTTCCTCTTGATTAGTCTCGATTTCTTTGGCTATTTCTCTGAGGGCTTTGTTCATTTCATCTTTATGGGCCTCTAATAGCTGGAGAAACATAGTTTTGAGGTCGTTTTCTTGTATATCTAGTGAATTAAAATGTCCATTGTTTTGTCGGGTTGCTGGTGAGGTCATTATGTCTTGATTTTCGTTAGGAGTGTTCTTACATCTGCCTCTAGCCTTCTGGTTATTTATAATCCTCACTGTTTGTTCCTTGGGATTGTAATCCAAGGTAAAATATACTATAATTAAATGGAAAGAAAATTTTGTTAACATTTATAATTAAGCAAGATATGTTACTTTTGCAAGGTATATAGCTTTATTTATTTGATGTCTGTCTTTTAATGGGAACTGTTTATTCAAAATGAAAAGACAAAAAAATTCATAAACTAAATAAGTCAATGATAATAGTAACACAGGCTGGTGTCTGAAGCAGGTATCTTTTGTTTCTGTTAATTCACTTAGTTACTAATTACTGACTGGAATGTTATGGATATAAGTAGGGTAATACATCTGAAGGCTGCAAAAAAACTAATAAAACTCATTTTACTCTCAAACATTCACTTTGAGGTCATCAATTTTATTTATTGGATATATTGAAACTAGAAGAATCATTGAGGGATCTTAGGTGTAAAAACATCGATGAGCCCAATTGTATCACATTGATCAAGAAAGGTGCTAAAGGACCCTCTCTGCCAAATTAAAATGATTAATTACTTAATGTTTGTTTGTTTAGAGTGAAGACTAAGACCAGTGATTGCTTTCATTACACCCAATTCTCAGTAATAAATATTTCAAAACCCAAGGGAATCTATATTGATATATTTAAACAGAATAGTCTACCCATTTTGAGATGTGAAACAGAATTTCATCCAAGCCACTTGCTAATACTGATTGCCTTCTTCAGAGTCCCCATCACATCCTTATTTCTTAAACTGTAGATGAGTGGGTTTAACATAGGAATCACAACTGTATAGAAAAAGGACGCTATTTTGTCCATGGAGTAACTTGAGCTGGGTCTGAAATACATGAAAAGTGGTGTTCTATGAAAGATGGCCACAGCCATGAGGTGGGAGACACATGTGGAAAATGCTTTGCATCTGCCCTCAGTAGATTTCATTCTGCAGATGGTAACTATGATGTAGCAATAGGAGAGAAGTACGGTGACAATGCTGCACCCTACCACACAGCCAATGAACGTGAACATCACTATTTCACTGATGAATGTGTCTGAGCAGGAGAGGGCCAGCAAGGGTGGAATGTCACAGAAAAGGTGTTTGATGACATTTGAATTGCAGAAAGACAGTCGGAATGTGCAGCATGTGTGGATTGCTGAATCCACCAAGCCTACCACATAGGCAACAGCCACATGCTGCATACGGACCTCCTTGGACATTGCAATTGTATAGAGTAGTGGATTGCAGATGGCAACATAACGGTCATAGGCCATGATAGCCAGCATGAGACATTCTACATCTGCAAAGACCCCCCAAAAATACATTTGTACAGCACATAAATTATAAGCAATCCTCTTCTGTTCAGACAAGAAATCAGCCAGAAGCTTGGGAGAGACCTTGGAAGAGTAGCAGATGTCACAGATGGACAGATTACTCAGGAAATAGTACATAGGTGTGTGCAGCTTGGGGTCCTGCTGGATCAGCAAGACCATCTCTAGATTAGCAATGAGAGTTAGACCATAAATGAGGAAGAAGAACACAAAGAGCCCCTGTTGTACACCCTGCCTGCCAGAAAGTCCTAAGAAGACAAAGTCAGTAAATAGAGTGAAGTTCTCAAGTGTCATTGTTCTCATGTGGAAACCCTAGGATTTCAATAAAGAAAGGGAAATTGACAGTTTTAGTTTTCTTATATTCATAGTCAAACTCAGTCCTTTCTTCTTAACAAAATTAAAAATTGACAAAATCACTAGTGCCATAAGAAATGTTTCTGACTCAGGGTCAAACTATAAGAGTATTTATTGTATCTATGTATCTATATGGCTCTATTTAGAAAATGTAGCACATATTTATTCAAATGTATTCATGTGATTTCCAAGAAAACAATATGGCACTATGAGAAGTTGTGCCCTTTCTTTTTCATTGGTTAGAATGTGGATATTTTCAGAAACACTGGCAGTGTTTTTGCTGTCAACTTCTGATAAAATCTGACATCTTCAGATAGGAATTATTATTTTTTATTAATAAAAAACATTACTATGTCTTCTGAAGTGAATAAGTATAACCAAGTAGGGGTACTGAAAGTAGCCCATTCTTACCTTTCATCCTCGAAACTTATCAAGCATAAATCAATATGACAGAGGTATTAGTAGGCATAACATACACAGAGTTTACTGAAAACCTCTCAAGTTCATATCTATTTTCAATAAGAAGATTATATTTACTATGCTGTTGACCTAAGAACCGAGATGACATTGCTGGAAAGTAGACAGAGAGATCTGCAAGAGCAGAAATCTTGAGCACAAACACTGGACAGTATCAGAAGTAAAACCCTCCCTTAATCTCAGAGATGCTGCTAACTGAGGTGGCAAAAACTCTAGGAAAATAGATCATCAATTAGCTGAGTCCTAATCAAGCAGAACCGTGGTACCCTGCACACCCACACAGCACATGTGGACAGCTGTTGAGAAAGCAATCCCATGTTCATTGCCTCATCAGATCTGTGTCTGAGCAGTGCGTCTTCCTAAGTATCCAAAAGTTGTTACAATGCTGTATTATTTTTTCTTTATTTCCATTTGTACATATACGTACACATGTATATAGCCAGTGTTTCTGATAATATCCACATTCTAACCTACACAAAAGAAGGGTCCAAACTTCTTAGAGTGCTATGTTGTTTGCTTAGAAATCATGTGAATAAATTTAGATATATAACATGCATACAAATCTAAAAAATATCATGTAAATCACAGATTTCTAAAACTTGGATAAATTGTTTTAAGTATCCTTCCCAGTATAAAGATCTTTTAAAATAATGATTTTGTATAATGTATTTCGAATACTTAACATACATAAAATTACATGTTTGCTATTAAAATAAGTGATATTTGCCCCCTTCCCAAATCCATCTTAATACTTTTGGTTCCGATGTTATTTTGTATAAACATTAAAATGTTTATTATTTTAAGCAGACATTTGCCTTGTTTTATTTCTGCTTTCATACAGGTATTTAGTGCAAATGAAAACAGAGTGATTGAAAGAAATCTGTAAAGTGTATGAGAAAGAGCAAAGGTGTCTGTACCTGGTCCAGGACTAGAGATGCTAGCGAATGTAGCTCTGTCTGCACCTAAACTCAGCACTCTCTCTGGAATCACCTGAGTTATAAGTCTCTTCTTGGTCCCTGGGTGCTTAAGACTTGGTCTCTTAGGAATAAGAGGAATTTACAATAACAAGGTTTAACATCGTGTATTCCATACAATCAGGGTTATTGAAATGCATTCCTCTTATCAATTTAAAAATATTCCTATTTGTTAATTCCCCAAATTAACATTAGCAAAATGACTCCAAATGATTTCGCATTCATCACTCCCTATGTATTCTGTAATGATATGAAATAGAGAACTAGTACATCCCACACACCTGCAGATTTATATTCACACAAATTCATAAATTCAATAAACTCATAACAACCATAAATGTATTGACATGTCCTTAGTGAAGACATCAAATGTTAACAATTCGGTAATTGCCTAAAGATAAACCGGTTATTATTTTTAATCGATGCCAATTTTTTCCTTATATTGAAAAGGTATTTTTCTCATACAATGTATCTTGATTATAATTTCCCTTTCCTCTGCTTCTTCTAGTCTCGCCTCACCTACCATCTTATATGAATCTACTCCATTTCGTTCAGACGAAACAGGTTTCTAAAGGATAATAATAAAACAAAATAAGACAAAACAAAAGCTAACACATTGAATTGTACAAAATAAAGAGAAGGGAATAGTGAAAAAAAGGCACAAAAATAAAGAGACCTCCCCTTACACACCCAACAATCCAATAAAAGCCCTGGATTTTAAACAAATAGTGATGTCACAATGTAAACTCTGCATATAATAAAATAATGTGATTAGAATCAAAGTGTTCTTGTTTATTAAAGTAATTTATTCTTTTTTCAAAAATGTTTGGCTTAAAGTTTTTCATATCACAAAATATTCAAATGTGTCTTTAATAATGAATTCAATACTTAATTCATACATTTCTTAATGTATCTTAATATATATTAAATCAAATTAATGTGCCTTAAATCAAACACATCAAAATGCTTTTCAAAGTAAATTCTGAGAAATAACATACATTAACAAGTATGTTTGGCCTTACATAAAGCTAATTTTAAACTAATTTAGCTAAATTAAATTAATTAAACCTAAATTATTGTTATATAGTGTTAGATATTTTATAAATAAACATTTCCTGAATTGTTCCCTCCAAAACATTTACCTTGAAGTCTGAAACAAAAGATGAAGAAAACTCAATGCTTGAGGCTCTCAGAGATAGGAAGTTTTACTAAATTCAAGATAGCACCAAGTCATGTATACTGACGCAGATTCTCCTTAAATGAATTGTGGTATAGAAATTACAGCTAGAGGCCACTAACTTTTAAATGTCACTTATTAGCTGGTAGGTCAAAACATGTCCCATGAACAGAAAATGTGTAATGATCATCTATGTTATCTTGACCGTGAGTCTTACTGTGGTTTACTCATGCTCACAACCCTGCATATTAACAATGTAACCAACACTGTCCAGGGGAGCAATGCACGTGTTACACACCTCTTGTTGCTATGGTTGAGGTCTGTAATTGCCAGTTCTGCTTGTCTGTCTTTTTTATTGTTATGAAACTCCCAGGCTTCTATAAATCCACAATAAATATGATGTGAGATGTTGGTATACTTTTCTCAAAAGTCCTTTATTTACATTTCTTATATCTCTTTCTCTCTACTCCACCCCAGTCACTTCCAATACCCTAACACCAGGTAAGATAAAGAGTTAGTGGAAGACGGGCCACAGATTTCTTTCTTCTCTGCTTCCTGCTGGTTGGGTTCCTTGGAGCCAGTCTAATCCTCTTTCAGGAGATCCCCAACTTCTTGTCTCACTGTATCAACAGCATCCAGGAGCTGCAGGGAGAAAGCAGCAGCAGTCTTCATTTTAACATTTTTTAAATTTTTATAATTTATTACAGTTTATTCAGTTTGTATCCCAGCTGTAGCATCCTCTCTCCCTCTTCTCCCCCTATGTCCATCCCCTAGTCCACTGGTAGAGGAGGTCCTCCTCCCCTTCTATCTAACCTCAGCCTATCAGGTCTCATCAGGATTGGCTGCATTGTCTTCCTCTGTGGTCTGTCAAGGCTGCATCTCCCTCAGGGGGAGGTGTTCAGAGAGCCTGTCACTGAGTTCATGCCAGAGAAAGCCTCTGCTCCCCTTACTAGAATACTTGGATACTGAGTCTATGGGCTACATCTGAGCAGGGGCAGCCTGTTCTTTCTCAGAATTCCTCCACACTCTCTGGGCTCTGGCATTTATTCTCTCTAGAGTCCTCAGATTGAAATTATCTGCAGCTGGCAAAGAGCTCCCCTCAGAACCGACATGAAGCACATAGTTTGTGGCTATGGAGTATCTGAGTCAATCCCACATCCGGTACCTGGGATAAAAACTAAAACATGGTTATATCCACAACAGTGAGACACTTTAACTTTGGAAAAAGTAAAACATTCTAACATTTTAAAACCTTTTCTTATTTCAATTTCAATTTTTATTTTTTTGATTTTGGATGCAGGGTCTTCCTTACTAAGTAAGCTAGTTTGGATGAAAGTTATTAAGTAATTCAAGCTGACCTTGAATTTTTGGCATTTCTTTTGACTCTGACTACCCAGTAATGAGTGTTATTCTCACCATGATGTGCCCAACATTAAACTGCCAAAACACTTTGATTGGAATATTTCAAAAATACTACATCCTGATTAGTTTTTGATGTCTTTCCACAGGGTATACATACATCAAAGAGTTTTTAATGAAATACTTAAGGGCTATTCATTAATCCTACATATATTTTTACATGTATTTATGCTTTTTACATGTATTTGTGTGTGTGTGTGTGTTGCAAAGTCATTGCATATGTGTCTATGAATAAGCATGATCATGTAGATACCAGAGTGGCATTCTTCAATTACCGCCTGTTTATCATGGCATGAACTCTCAAACCCACCAAGCTACATGACCAAAGGCATGCTACCTTATAAAATGGCTACATGAAGAAAATCCCACTACCTCATATTGTTTGTTCTCTTCCTAGCCAATCTAAGACAGTCACTCCAAGCCCTCTCTCGGATAGTAATATTTACCCCCCCCTCACACACACACTTTGCCACCTTTTTTTTTTCTTTTCACTGCTAGAGCCCTTAAAACTTCCATGTATCAGGAGGGCATCAGCCCTTGTTGACTCTGCCTGATTCAGAGGAAGCCCTCCCACTTTATTCTCAGAATAATATTTGTGTGTGTGTGTGTGTGTGTGTGTGTGTGTGTGTGTGTGTGTGTGT